TCATTAGTTATCGTGATAACCCAACATGCGAGTAATAACAGAGCAAAACTATTCAGAGAAATATGGTCAAACGCCTAATGTGATGTGTTTCTACAGACGTACAGGAAACGTTCGATTCAGTAGATCATGCTATCCTATTTGACAAACTTAACCATTATGAACCTTGGTTTTTGCTGGATAATAAACAACTTGCTTTCGTCTGAGCTGCAGTACCGGACCCAAACAACACTAGGTGGTCCGCATGTTTCTAGAATAACTTTGAGGACTTGTGGCGTATCACAAGGTTCCGATAAATTATCCAGCTTATACGACTTCGATTTACTAAGCTTGAATACAAGACATGCTGATGATCTTTACTTTAAACATCAATTCATTGAATAGCTGATACAAAAGCAAGTTATCAGAGGTCATATCGGAATATATGATTAAAAATTTTGAAAACATTCAAACTTACTTGTTTGGATGAACCAAACTTCGATTTTAACATTATTAGAGTAGTGTAAATTATCAATTCATATCCTGTCAATTGCTATTAACAATACCAGGTTTTAAATTTGAATACGCCTTCTGGAGTTGTAGGAATGTTTATCGATGAAATACCTCCTCGGACCATCTTTCTGACAGAAGCATTCCAATGTCTGTGGGTTGAAATATCTCATGTTAAGAGGATTATATATAATAGTTTTTGGTTTAGTGTGCAGAAACTCGACTCTCTGGACCTTTTAAAACGACTTTGAAGGAAACAGTGAAAAGTTTCGTCAAACTTAATCAACCCTGTATATTTTAAGAAATTCTATAGTCGACCTGTTAAAATGTGAGGCCTCGTTAAAGCCCGGATTTCTTGGTGGCTCGCAAAAGCTACCACATCATTTCTACCGATGATTAGCCATTACGTGCGGCCACTCATGTCGATGGTATTTTTGTAAACAATCCTGAGCAAGTGAAATCCAGTTAACCTGATCAATCAACTCGTCCAGTTTTGCATTATTAACATACGTAGCGAACCAGTTTACAAAGTTTAAAAAAACGGAAATGCGCCACAACCCACAGTTTTCAACGGAAATTTTAAGTTTGACTTTTTTCAATCTACCTACGCTCTTAGGGATTTCAAAAACAATGACTTTACCCATT